GAGGGGTGGCTGGGATGACAAGCATCCTGCTTGCTCCGCTCTCCCTACAACACCCCAGTTTTGTTTCTGATTTGGTTAATTTGGACATTTACTCTCTGCCTGCTAGTTAATTTAGATAAGGGTTTGTTGATTTTCTCAAAGTACTAAGCTTTTGTTTCATTGATTCTTTGTACTGTTCTCTTTGTTTCTTTTTTATTGATTCCAGCCCTGACTTGATTATTTCTTGCCTTGTGCTCCTATTTGGTATGGGTACTTCTTTTGCTAAGTTACTAGTATGAGATTGCTCCATATTACTAGTATGTAGACCCTTAGTACTATGGACTTGCCTCTTGGAACTGCTTTAATTGTGTTCCATAAGTTTAGGTATGCTATTTCATTCAAATCTAGAAAGTCTTTAATTTCTTTCTTAATTTCTGTCTTGGTCTATTTTTCATTCAGCTCTATCATATTCATAAAGACTGTTAAGGTTGTTTTCTTGTGCCTCAGCTGGGTTGGAATATTCAGGGTCTGCTTTCAGAGGGTTGCTGGGCACTACTGGAGCCATATTATACTGGATATTATTTTTACAATGGCATCTAGGTATCTAATATTTGGAAGATTGTAGCTCGAGGTGTTGATATCCTTGTTGACCAAGGTTCCTATCCCACTGGTCCTGCTGCCATTAAGCGCCAAAGAGGTCTAAATTAGTTATAAACTGATTGTCCCATTAGTTCAGGTTTCTTATTAACTAATTCTTACATCTTAAATTGACCCATTATTCTTGTCTATGTTAGCCACATGGCTTGGTACCCTTTTTGGCAAGGCAGTCACATCTTGCTTCCTCTACAGCTGGGTCATGACTGTGGACTATGCTTCCCTCTTCCCAGCATTCGTGTTGCCACACCTCTACTTCCAGCCTGTTCACCGTCACCCTGCCTATACTTCCTGTCTGGTTACTGGCCAATCAGCATTTTATTAAAAATAATACAAGTGACAGGATAAAAAATCATTGTCCCACAGCACTCCTCCTTTTTTTAAAATAAGAACTCTAAATCTAATATCCTTTGTTTAGTTTTTCTCCTGACCATTATCCATAACAACTTGTAACAAACATTCTAGACAAAGGAAAATATTCATAGTCCATTTTTTTGGAATATGGGTATAGTTTTCATGCTGATTGGAGATATTATTATGGGGGACCTAAACAAAATTTAGAATTATGATCAGGTTGTGACTGGAGTATCCTGTGAGGCTTGATCACCTCAGGTAGCAGTCTTGAATCTTTTCTGGATGTAGAATTCAGATATCTGGGCCATTCACTCCTACTAGAGATTTCTCAGGGGTCTTCCTTGATCAAACATGAATTTTCTTAGCCCAGAACAAATCCACAGCCTCTCATTTTCTGTGGAAACAAAAGCAAAACCTTTTCTCCAAAGTAACATACCTGTTGACTTCAATTTTAAAGTCAAGATATTTTCAAAATACCTATCTTGGATTAATTCAGCAACATTTATATTAAAATGTCTTTTAGCAGCTTTTTTTCCTTCCTCAGCTGTAGAAGGAGCTGCGGGCCACTTCCTGTCTCCCGGCTTCCAGCCACCAGCTAGCTTTACCCAAAATAATTACATGGAAACTGTATTCATTTAAACACTGCTTGGCCCATTAGCTCTAGCCTTTTACTGGCTAACTTTCACATCTTGATTAACCCATTTCTATTAGCCATGTGTGTAGCACCACGAGGTGGTGGCTTACTTGGAAGATTCTAACCTACATCCATCTTGGGCCGGAGCTCATGATGTCTGCCTCATTGCCTTGTTCCCAGCATTCTGTTCTGTTTACTCCACCTATCTAAGTTCTGCCCTATCAAAAAGCAAAGGCAGTTTCTTTATTAACCAATGAAATTAACACATAGACAGATAACCCACCTACATCACTCAGCCATCAAACAATTTAAAAACAACACAATAACATGCAGTATCTAGGCTCTCTGTGTATTTTTCATCTTTATGTGCTTTATTTTAACCTCTATTTCTTTTATTTTTAATTTTTGGCTTTTTGAGACAAGGTTTCTCTGTGTATCTTTGTCCTGGAACTCAGTCTGTAGACAAGGCTATCCTTGAACTCACAGAGATCTGCCTGCCTCTCCCTACCAAGTGTTGGAATTAAAGATGTGTGCCACTACACACTGAATTTACAGAGATCCATCTGCCTCTGCTTCCCAAGTCTTGGGATTAAAGGCATAACTGGATATCCACCTGTAGAAGAATGAAAATAGATCTTTTTTTCTTTTTTTTCTTTTTGTTTTGTTTTGTGTTTTGATACAGGGTTTCTGTGTTGTTTTGGAGCCTGTCCTGGAACTAGCTCTTTAGACCAGGCTGGCCTCGAACTTGCANTTTCTTCATCTTTAAATCTTTCTTTACTGTATATATATGTGTGTGTGTATATATATATCTTTACTTTTAACCACATGAGTCTTTAATTTGCTAAGTGATATGGCTAGGATTAAAGCCATAGGTTTGATTGCTGGATCCAGTTCATTCCTTATCTTTCTGAGAATCTAGCTTCATGGTGGAGGTACTGGCCAGAACCATGTTTATTGCTACAACTCTATGGCATTTCAAAGTCCGTGCTGCCACCAAAAAACATGCTGTAGACTATTCATAAACACCATTTAAGTGTTCTTTAGCAGAGTCTTTTAAAAAAGTCTGCAAAGTTTTTGTAGCTAAATTGAGTCAACAAGCCTCTCTTAAATAAGATACATTTACCTCCAGCAAACAGAGCCCACCTGAGAAAATTCTGCTATCAATAAGCTGTGCTTAACTCTATTTTTTTCTGTCTAGAATTACTTCCCAAGCTCTCTCAGGCTTTCTGTGGATGCAGTTGTCTACACTTGCCAAGACAGGGTAAAACAGTTTTGAAAAATTCCTGCCTCTGAAAATGGCCTGTCAGTTACTCTAGGCATTAGCCAAAGTTGGTTGCTTCAACATTGCAAATGAGACTTTGGGTGATTGCTTAGCCAGCCAGTTGTCTCTGACATCTATTGTACATTTTGGAAGCTGCTTGATTATATTTCCTGCCTACTCAAGTAATATTATCTCCCTTCTCAGGCCTTCAATGGGGTTGAAGATTAGATAGTCATAGTTACCATCCACTTATGATCTGGTCAAGTCATTTCCAATATAAGACTTAGACTCCTTAGGATAGAATGTTTATTAAAACATTTGTAATATGTTCCTTGCTTAATATTTTTATGCTGGTTGTATTTCTAATCTTATGCTTGATATTTGTTCCTAGTGTATATAGTTTTGTATTGGGTTTGGAACTCTCTTATTTAAACAAAAGGGGAAGGTGCTGTGGGAGCTCCTTCTGCTCCTTCAGCCAATGGCTTTTAAGATGCTAGCCCGCTTGGGCATGGTCTCTTATACTATAAATGCAGCTGTAAAGCCTGTGCTCTGCTCGCTTGCTCCCAGCTCTTGCTTCCAGCTGCTTGACTCTGTTCTTGTTCACCATTTGTAAAGAGGACTGTTATCTATAAGTTTCCCCTAAATAAATAACCCTTTATTATAAAAAATTCTGAACTCGTATGGGATTATTTTGTAACTTCTGCCATCAGATATCTGGTCTTGTCTTGTTGGTGGGTTTCTTTTTTTTCCATTTCTTTTCCTCTCTGGATTTTAGGAGAGTGTAGTGGCTGTATGTTGTCTGATAGGAAATTTTTCTGGTGCCCTCATAGGTGTGACTACTGAGGATTCCAGTTAAAATGTTTTTATGGGTATAAGAGTTGAGACCTAGATTAGGGTATGAGCTGGCAGGGCTGGGGGTGTTCACAGAATGGAGGGAAGCAAGGTATTTCATTGGGATATGCTTAGTTCCCTGGAAAGGGATGCAGTGTATGAGGAGAGGACACAGCAGAAGGTCGGCTACAGAGCTGGGGATATGACTGGGGGATTGAACTTGGAGGAATGGAGACAGGGTAAAGCTCTGCAGCTAGTCCACTTCTTCTCTGGACAGAGTGGCCTGTGGGTTCCCAGGGAAGGCCTGCTGGAGGTGGAGACTGGGACAAAACAATGGGTGGAGGCAAGGATGTTTGGATGGGGATATCTGTGTGATCCATTGGAGATGGGGGAAAGGGAGCCTTCAATAGGTGCTCTGCTGGAGATGTGGTTGGGGGATTAAATCTGGAGGAGCAGAAGGAGAGGTGAAGATCTTCAGTCAGCCTACCTGATTCCCTGGCAGGAATATTTATTTCTTACTGTTAGCTCAAGGGCCTCTTACGTTTAACTCACTGACATATTCCCACCTCCTCATATAGCACATGACACATGGTTCGCAACAAGTATTATTTTTTAAACATCTTCTAACTCACATTAGTGGCCATCACTCCCAGCTTCTCTATCCCCCATCCTATGTGGCTTAGTCCCACACTACCTTGTCCTTGTCTTTACTATACTAACAAGATATTATACTGGTTTTTTTTAGACAGTCTCATTTAGCTCAAGCTGGCCTCAAGCTTACTATGTAGACATTGAGGACCCTGACGTTGTGATTCTCCTGCCTTTATCTCCTGATGGCTAGGATTACATAAAAGTACTCTACCAAGTAAGCTATACCCTCAGCCCAGGTTGATTTGCTATTCTGTTCAGTTCACACTTATGTATTATTAAATCTGCTAGAGTATAATTGTGTAATAATGATGTCTATGACTAATGTGCTTGTTGAATAAAACTGAACAAACAGGAAACAAATCCATAGAGGGAAATGACTTGGAACCAATTTATTTGAAACTCTATGATGGGTGGGGGCTATGAACAAGAAAATGCCAGTATCAGCTTAGTGCCCTTTGTCTTTTTGGATGAGAGCAGAAATTTGGGATTATAATCAATATGTTCTGTCCTACCCTGTCTCACCCCTGCTTCTCAGACTCTAACTTTTTCCTCCTCTACCAGCTTAAGCTAATGCTGGGCCACTGGACAGCACTGCTTTCTCCAGAATGAGTCTCACACTCTGAATTTTATTGACAGATCATTCAGAACTAGAGATAAATGCTAAAACCGGCAGCAACATAACCCTGCAATTCTTCGAGAAACCACTTGGAACCTACACACACATCACCTGGCTTTATACTACCAAACAGAAGATTTTAGAATATGCATATAAGGGTACAGAGACAACCTATGCTGGTTATCGGGGCAGGGTCAACCTTGACAATATAACTGGTGCACTTCAAATCTACAATATCCAGAAAGAAGACAAAGGTGACTACTACATGAGAGTGTTGAAGAAAAGTGAGGAAGAATACAAGAAAATCTTGAATGTATTTGGTAAGTTTTAGAGTCAAAGGAAAAATGCCTATTCGGGGAGCTTACTGGGAGTTGGGGGTGCTGACTGGAAAAGAAGAGAGGCGCATCACAACACACTTACTACATTTCTCCCAGAGACTCATCTACTTGTGAGTGAGCCTGACCCAGCAGATATCAAATTGTGTTAGTTTTTCGTTACTAAGACAAACGCCTCAGATAAAGAATTCAGACAGGGTAAGGTTTATTTGGGCTCATGGCTTCAGAGGTTGTATGGTCCTTGGTTAATTGGCTCTATCACTATGGACCTGTGGGAGGCACAGCATCATGGCAGGAAGGGGAAATGAAGCAGAGATGCTCACCCCAAGCTGGGAAGGAGGTACTAGAATGAAGGGCCAAGAACAGGATATACCTTGCAATAATATGTTCCTAATGACCACTTTCTCAGTTGGGTCCCTCCTTCAGGTTTCTACCATTTTCCAGTAGTCCATTCAATTATTAATCCATCAAAAATCAATTAATTGATGGTATCAGAGATTTTTGAACCAATCACTTGCACAAATATTGCCTACTAGTGACCAAACCTTCAATGTGAGGCCCTTTTGAGGAGCCGCATAGAGGAAGAAACAAATCATGGTAAAACTGGAAACAGTAAAGACTATTTCTTCTGTAGTGCCCTCATTCTGTCGTGTGAGCAACCCAAATTAGTTTTGAACATATTTAATTCTGTCTGAACTCAGATTTCATCAGACTTATAGAAAAAGAGATATTAAAAATAAATTGAGATAGTTCTCTGGGAGAGTTCTATCAGATTTAGTATGACAAAAATTTCCACTTACAGCTTCAGCCTAACCAGTCCCTATAGAAATAAGAGTAGGGCATTATCCTTGGAGTCAGACAGATTTAGGATCAAAGTGCCAATTTAATAAAATAACTGTGTATGGAAAGACAAACACTCCCATGTTCTCATTAATTTGTGGAAGCCAAGAAAGATGACTTCATAGTCACTAGAGCGATGTTGGATAATGGAAACCATCATAAAGTTAAATAGAAGGGGTCATCTCTGGGATTCCATAGCACACTATTTCAAAGTAGCTGGAAAAGAACGTCCCAAAGACCCCAACACATAAAAATTATAAATATTTGAAGAGGCAAATCTCAATTTTCTGAAGTAATTATTATACTGTACATTTAATTATCACATAGTACCCCCATAAATATGTACAGTTATTATGTACCTATCAACACTTTAAAATCCCTCTGGCCAGTTCCCTAGTAGCCATGGCACCATGGTGTATGATATTAATATCTCTTTGTCCATATTAAGTAAGGTTCTTTGGAGGGAACTGACAAAAGCCAACTCTTTGTACATTTACCAGAAAAGGAGATATGTTCCACTGGAGCTCAGTAGAGCAATTCAAGGGAATATAGAAGCGCTATGAAGGCCTGAGGGATGGAAGGGTGATAACAGGGCCAGTTCAATCCTGAGCCTCAGGAATCTACAGATCCAGGCATCGGCATATTAACACAACTTAGCTCTCAATGCTTGGTTTTGTGCCAAATCAGAACCTCATAAAGAAAAGTGCATTTATTTATGGTTTGCCTAGATTATTTAATGTCTTTTGCTATGTGATCTTCCATCTAAATACTTAATAAATGCACTAACTTTGCTTCATTCTATTTGATTATGGAAATTATGGAATTCTTTTTTGTGGGTCATCAAGATCCATCTTTATTCAAATGGGGATCCCCAACGGAACAGGAAACTCCTTTGGCTGCGGGTGACTATGTTGTAGTGTGTCTCCCTGATACGCTAGCAGAGCTACAAACAAAGAAATCTATGAGGCCAAGAATGTATAGAACCCAAATCTTTTCTCTTTCAAAATTGGTGGGCTCAAAACATTTCCTTGGTCAGAATTAAATAAAAAATGGTTTCAGAAACAACCCAAGATCCAGGTTCCATTTTCCTCAGGAAAGGACTGTTTTGCAATTAAATTTAGTGTTCTAGCCACCATCTCACGGCTTCTTCCAATCTGTAAGATGGCCACAGGCACAGGGTGTTTTGGGGGTGGGAGATAACTAAACAGCCACGAGTGGCCTAAGGAGTTCACCTTCCTTTTGGAGATTTCTGCTCAGGTAAAGCTGGATTCTTGACCACCCCACGGAAAAGAATTCATGGTGAGCCGGAATGAAGCAAACTTAATGTGTTTATTAAGTACTTAGACAGGGAGTCATATAGAAATAAAGACATTACATCATCTGGGCAAACTAGTCTATTTTTCTTTATGTGCTTCTGATGCACAACAGAGACAAAGATGGCAGATTTATAGACCTAAGCATCCTATAATGACAGTGTGAAGGGCTTTGCTGTGTACAGGTTGAGGCCCTTTAGGATTCTTCCTGAATCTGAACTCCAGAATTCTTGAGGGACAGAGTGGCCCCCGCTGGTGCTTGCTGTGGGCTTTTTTTAGAGGACAGGCCCTGAGTATCCCAGATAGTTAGGAAACACAGTCAGAAGTCAGCTGGTCTCCCCCCTCCCCCCAACACTTAGCTCACAGATGACCATCACCCCACTTTGTTCCTAATGGTGTGTAAAGAACTCTGGCTCCCCCTCCTGGATCTACCTTAGCATCACCACCCAAAAGTAGCCTCCTGAAGACAAAATTGCTCCCTGGCTCCATCTATAGGAGTCTCTTATCCATACCCACCTTGAACAGCAATCATGGCCCCTCCCTGGTTCCCTTTGCAGTCTGTTGGTCAAATCCTTGCATCATAAACACCACAAAAATGTATAAGCCCATTGTCTCATAACAAGTCTTTTTCAGATCCTGTGTCCCAGCCTACCATAAAAATTGAGAAGACTGAAAATTTGCCTGACTCTTGTCACCTGATACTGTCCTGCAAGGGAGAGCAACAGAATGTTACATACACTTGGTTTGATGACTCGGGGCTTCTTCCCCAAAATGAGGAAGCAGATGTGCTGGAAAGAATCATCACTCCAAAGAACAAGTCTACATTTTATACCTGCCAAGTCAGCAACCCTATAAGCAGGAAAAATGACACCATGTACTTCACTCCGCCTTGTACTCTGGGTAAGAATTACCTTCCAGGGAGCTGAGGTGGGCACCATGATGACTGGTTTCTTTTGAATGAAGGAAGATATGGAGTTCCTACTCAGCCTTCTGGCAGAGAATGTGGTGGGAAATCTCAAAGGTGTCACTGGAGTTTGAGACCTGGCTTCCACCTGGCTCTACAGCCACCTACCAGCTAGCTCACCTTATCTTTCCTTAAAGCTGAGTCCTGAGTAACTGTAGGGCAGCCTGAGATACCAGAACAATTGGGGGAAGTGGGAGAGTAGTCCAGGCAAGGAAATAAGGAAAACGGGATGAGTGAGAGAGAGGTTTGTGAATAGAAGCAAGGTCCCCATCCTCAGGAAGAGACTGCATAGGTATTATTCTCCTTGGTAAAGGTAGGAAGGCAAACTCTAGGCTTCATGTTTCAGATTTCTCTGCATTGCCTAGAAGCATCCTTTCATACAATGTCACTCCCCCTTAATTCAGACCTACAGAGGTACCACTGGATTTTAGAGTTAGTCACACCTCAGGTTACTCCTGATATAGTCTCTGTATTAGTTATTTTTACTGTTGATATGATAAAATGCCTTACAAAAACAACTTGAAGAAGGAAGGGTAAGAATTCAACCCATCACGACAGGGAAGGCATGGCAACAGAAATGTAAGATAGCAGTTCCTGTCGTGCCCACAATCAGGAAACAAAGAGATGAATACTGGTACTCAGTAGGCTTCCTCCCTTCCCACCTTTCATTCCCCAGCTTGTGGAAGGATGCTGCCCACATTTAGTGCAGATCTTCCCTCCACAGATAAATATCTCTAGAAACACCCTTAACAGACACTCTCCGGGGTATGGGGTTGGTTCTTTTCTGGTCCTACAGATAAGTCAAGGTAAGCGTCCATCACGGGATTCAACCAAGCTAATGACATTTAAGGAACTTCCAAGGTCTTTACATCTGAAGAGGATGAGTTTTTGCAAGAGGAGGATTTCCCTAGGCAGCTGGGATTAGGTTTAGGGAGGTAGCCGTTCTCCTGTTTTAAGAGTGCCATCCTTATGCCAAGTCCTCCTCTTCCTCCTCAAAACAGTGATCAAGGTCTAAGTGTTTGGGGTTTTGTTCTTTCAGCAAGATCCTCTGGAGAACGTTGGATTGCAACTTGGCTGGTCATCATGGCACCCATCATTCATACCTTCCTGTTGACGTGAGATGAACTCTTCTCACTTGAGAATGAAACTTCGAGGCCACTGGATCCTGTCTTTATCATCTGGAAAGCAGCTCTAACTCTATGGGACAGAAGAAATTGTGTTGTTGAACATTTGTGATGGTTTGCATTTTCTTACCATCCTAGAGTTAAGTACAGGGCCTTCTGCATGCTCCAAAAATGCTGAGCCACTGACCTATGTGCCAATCCCTTTACAAAGATTTTTTTAGTAATCTTTTAAAAGTTGTGGTTAATATCTAATTTTGTATACCCCATTTGTTTTCCAAGAGTCATTAAAGATAAATGCGTTATTTTCACCAAAATACATAACTACATTATGCTAATGGTTTTTCTTTTTTAAAATTGATTCTTTTCTCAAACAATATATCTTAATTAGTTTCCTCTCCCTTTAATTCTCCCAGTTTGACACTACTTCTAATAGGTAACAACAAAACATAACAAAATAAAATATAATAAGCTAAAACAAAAACCATCACATCAAAGTTGGACAAGGCGGGCTGGAGAGATGGCTCAGTGGTTAAGAGCATTGCCTGCTCTTCCAAAGGTCCTGAGTTCAATTCCCGGCAACCACATGGTGGCTCACAACCATCTGTAATGAGATCTGGCGCCTTCTTCTGGCCTGCAGACATACACACAGACAGAATACTGTATACATAATAAATAAATATTTAAAAAAAAAAAAACAAAAAAACAAAGTTGGACAAGGCAATTCAAAAAAAGGAAAAGTGCCCAAGAATCAGAGACCCACTCATTCAAATACCCAGAAGTCCCATAAAAATGTTAAACTAAAGCTATAATGTATATGCAAAGGACCTGATACAGAGCTGTGTGGGCCCTGTACTTGCTGCTTCAGTCTCTCTAAGTTCATAATGACCTTGCTCAGTTAATTTAGAGAGACTTGTTCTCCTGGTGTCCTCCATCCTCTCTGGCTTTTAGTCTTTCCACCTCCACTTCCACAGGGTACCCTTAGCCCTGGGGGAGGGATATGATGGAGACATCTCATTCAGAGCTATATATCACTCTCTCTCTCTCTCTGTCTCTGTCTCTATCCTTCCCTCCCTCTACCCCCCCTTCATAATGTCTGGCTGTGGGATTATGTATTTGTTCCCATCTATTGCAGCAGGAAGTTTCTCTGATGGCTGAATAAGGCACTAATCTATGAGTGTAGCAGAATACCAATAGGTATTTTATTTTACCCTTTTCTTTTTGTTTAGACCAGTAGTATTTGGTTTTACCATAGGTCACCCAAGCAGTGTCAGGTTCATCTCATGGAGTGAGCTTTAAGTCAAATCAGACATTGGTTGGCTATTCCTGCAATCTTTGTGCCCACCATTGCCCTAGCATATTTTACAGGCAGGACAAATTGTAAGTCAAAGGTTTTGTAGCTGGGTTGGTGTTTACATTTCTCTTTGGGTAACCTGTAGAGTGCCTTCTTCTACCAAAGACTCTAAAATGATTGGGGTGAAGTTTCAACATAGGTACCTGTTTGACAGCTCCATGTTCAATGTGTTGTGTGAGTGCTGTCTTCAGCACTAGAACCTTACTGGTTGGTTTGTGGGGATCAACCTTGGTCAAAGCTTGGTAAAAGCCTGGGTTGTTTGGGTATTTCCATGCGACCTTTTTGGCCAACAACTCAATTGGATGTAACCCAGTTCAAGTACTGGAAGCTTCATTTGAAGACAAGAGATGGCCAATTGGAATTCTATCTTGCTTATAATTTGGAGACTTCATTAGAATTATCTCCATATAGCTTAAGAAGGTTCCAGTGCACCAGCTTTTTATACCACTCCTCAAATACACCTTAATTCCACCTGATTCTCCCTACATTCTTTCTCTCAATCCTATTTCCCCTACACCTCCCCACATGACCCTCCTGTTCCTGTCCTCCATCTCCCAGTCTACCCATAAAATTTATTCTATTTCTCCCTCCCAGGGAAATCTATGTGTCTCCTTCTCAAGCCCTTCCTCTATACCTAACTTCTCCAAGTCTTTGGACTGTAGTTTGGTTCTCATTTTTTTTAAAGACTAATATCTACATATAAGTGAATACATACCATATTTATCTTTCTGGGTCTGGGTTACCTTACTCAGACTGATTTTTTTTCTAGTTCCACCCATTTGCCTGCAAATTTAGTGATATCATTAGACTTGTCATTTTTAACAGATGAATAATATTCCATCATGTAAATGTACCACATTTTCTTTATCCATTCTTAAGTTGAGGGACATCTAGTTTGCTTCCAATTTTTGGATATTTTGAATAGAAAAACAATGAACATGGTTTTGAGCAAGTGTCCTTGTGATAGGAAGAAGTGAACTTTGAATATATGACCAAGAATGGTATAGCTGGATCTTGAGGCAGATCAGTTCCTATCTTCATGAGGAACTGTCATATTGACTTCCATAGTGGCTACACAAGTTTGCACTTCCAACAGCATTGGAGGAGTGTTCCCCTTACTCCACATTCTTGCCAGCATGAGCTGATTTGTGTTATTGATCTTAACCATTCTGATGATAGGTATAAGATGGAATCTCAAAGTAGTTTTGATTTGCATTTCCCAGATGACTAAGGGTGTTGAACAATTATTTAAGTGATTCTCAGACATTTGAGTTCCCTATATTAAAAACATTTCTGTTTAGATCTGCACCCTATTTTTAATCAAACTATTTGGGGTTTTGGTGTCTAGTTTCTTGAGTTCTTTACATATTTTGAGTATTAGTCTGCTATCAGATTCAGATTTGATGAAAAAATTTTCTCATTCTGTAGGCTGCTACTTTTTCCAAATGACAGGGTCCCTAGCCTTACAGAAGCTCTTCAGTTTCATGAACTCCCATTTATTAATTGTTGATCATAGTGCCTGTGCTATCAGCATCCAGTTGAAACTCTGTTCTTGGCCAATGAGTTCAATTCTATTCCCCACTTTATCTTCTTCCATTCAGTATATCTAGCTTTATGTTGAGGTCCTTGATCATTTTGGAGTTGAGTTTTGTGCAGGATGATAAGTCTGGGTCTCTTTGCATTCTTCTGCATGCAAACATCCAGTTTAATCAGAACCATTTATTCAAGAAGTTGTGTTTTTTTCCCAGTGTGTGTTTCTGGCTGCTTTAATCAAAACCAAATGTCCATAGGTATGTCAACGTCTGGGTCTTCAGTTCGATTTCATTTATTCATGTTTGTTTTTGTGCTGGTATCATGTGGTTTTTAGCTTTACAGTACAACTTGAAATTGGTGATGGTGAAAGTTCCCACAGTGCTTTTATTATTTAGGATTGTTTTAGAAATCCTGTTTGATTTTTGTGTGTGTTCTCATATGAAGCTGAAAATGGACATTTCAAGGTCTTTAAAAAATTATGTTAGAATTTCTATGAGGATTGCATTGACTCTGTAGATGGTGTCTAACAAGACAGACATTTTTATTATATTAATCCTACCAATCCATGAGCATGGGATATCTTTCCATCTTCTAATATCTTCTTCAATTTCTCTCTTCAATGACTTGAAGGTTTTTTTTTATTATACAAGTCTTTCACTTGCTTGGTTAGAATTAAGACAGATAAACCTAGAGAGGAGGGGAAATGGGGAAAAACTAGAAGGAGTAGTGGGAGGGGGAGCTATAATCAGGATATATTGTATGAGAAAAGAAAAGAATCTATTTTCAACAAAAGGAAAAAATTAAAAGGAAAATTACACATTTCTTTTAGGTTTTCCAATTTGGGAAAATATAGATTTTTCATATATGTCCTTATGATTTCCTCAGTATCTGTTGTTATGTCCTCTTTTCATCTATTTTTTTATTGAATTTTGTTGACCTCTCCATTTTTCTGTGCTCCCCCCCCCCTGCCTCTCCCCTTCCCTTCAACCCTCTCCCAAGGTCCCCATGATTTACTCAGGAGATCTTGTATTTTTCTACTACCCATGTAGATGACATCTATGTATGTCTTTCTTGGGGTACTCATTGGTGTCTAGGTTCTCTGGGGTTGTGATTTGTCAGCTGGTTTTCTTTGTTTTATGTTTAAAAACCACTTATAGTGAGTACATGTGATAATTATCTTTCTGGGTCTGGGTTACCTCACTCAAAATGATGTTTTCTAGACCCATCCATTTGCCTGCAAAATTCAAGATGTCATTATTTTTTTTTTCTGCTGTGTAGTACTCCATTGTGTAAATGTACCACATTTTCCTTATCCATTCTTCAGCTGAGGGGACTTTAGGTTGTTTCCAGGTTCTGGCTATGACAAACAATGCTGCTATGAACATAACTGAGCACATGTCTTCTGTAGGAAGTCTTACAGCCAGTGGTTCCCCACCCATTGGGGCATGGAATCATACTATTTATACCAATGTACAGTGTGCGTCTGGCCTCTTTTCCAGCTGTGGGATTCAGTTTCTGTTCTCCATTCCAGCAGAGGATTCTGACTTGTGAGTCTACCCCCCAAATAAATGTCTATTTTTCTCATTTCTGAGCTAGTGTGGAATTTCTTTTAAACTTCCTTTATCATCATCTGGCACCAAACTTGGGTAACTTCATCCACATAAAAACCTGAGAAAGCTTAAAAACTAATTCTGGACACAAAAGAACAGAGTTAAGCATGGTTTGCTAGCAGCATTTTCTTGGATGGGCTCTGTCTAAAAGCAAGCAGAGGCATGGCTCCTTTAAGAAGGATTTTCCTGATTCAGCCATAGCAGGAAAAAAATGCTATGGTTATTTTTAAATGTTGGCTTTCTGGGTCCTGCCAGCACAAACTCTGACTCCTTCGGGCAGGAGGTCTGGCTACAGAGCATTTGACTGGCGTTTGTGAGCAGACTGCTGCAGCTTGCTTAATAGCAACATGGACTGTTGTGTGCCCGGAAGTGGGGCAGTGTGCTTGGCTCTCAGAGGGCTAGCAGCTCCACCGTGCTGGACTGGGCAGGACGAGCAGGCAATACCATATTTGACCTAGGAATGTTGCAGCTTAGATTCTTAAGTGTTTAGCATTTTAAGAAGCACTTCAGGTCAGAAAATAATTACAGATATGCAATAAGGACAAATCCAGATTTAAAAAGATCTACAAATGGGTCACAGTGTTGAATAAATGTACGTAGGCTTGGGAGAGAGAGAAAAAAAGAGTATAGAGAATAGTCATAGACTAAAGGAGTAAACATAATAAAATAAATATTAAAAAACAATAGAATAAAAATAAGCCACATAAAGACGGAAAATTCACAGAGAGTCTGGATTATGTATATTATTGTGTTATCTTTCAATTTTTTGACTGTGAAGAAGCTAAGTAGAGAGAGACATTTCATTGTATGGGCTGCTAAGCTAAACCAGCATATATATTATAAAGATATCATTACTTTGAAATTTGGGTCTAAGGATATGTTACTTTGGAAAAGTTCTTCTCTTGTTTCCACAGACGATGAGAACCTATGGATTTCTTTCAGACCAATATGGTTTCATGGAACAAAACCCCCTGAAAAGTTGCTGTACACAGCCCACAAAGAAAATACTTTGCCCAAAAAACAGCAGGAAGCAGTTTGGAGAGAAAAACACTCCCATATTCCCAAATATTGTTTATAAATGTTCTTTACATTTAAGGGGGTATATGATATAGATATGAATAATTTGCATTGGTATGGATCTTGGTTTATTGATACAAATTTAAGGTGAATTTTGTTATACTGTATATGTATATTTCTGCCCTTGATTAAAGTATTGTATTTGTATAGTTCATTTAAAAATATAATGTATAATTAAGAAATATAGGTTAATAGATAGCCATCTAATAGTCAGGCTTGTAGTCATGTTAGTTAAANAGAGAGAGAGAGAGAGAGAGAGAGAGTTCAGTTGGTTAGGTATTCTTCAAATCTTTCAGAGAACTTCAGAGTATGGCATTTAAATGTTTTAAAAATTTAGAACTTTTCATGACAGTGAGACACATCTGCTCCTGGCAGCACCAATCTACTTCAAGAAAAAGATGGGCATCAAAGAGGCTCCTTATGGGGTTTATTAGATGAACTGGACAATCAGGATCCACAGAGAAAAGATTGCTGAACTTGCCTAAAGGTGGGATAATCCTTTGGGGTTCCTGCTTCATGACAGAGTCTGTGAGACATTCTGCAGAATACAAAAGAAAGTGACTGAACTGTCTTTGAAAGTTCCTGCTTCATGGAAAAGTCTGCCAGATACTATGGGCCTATAGGCTGTAGATGGATATACCAACGGTACAGAAGAACTTTGGGTGACTGTCCAGGTAGTGAGATGCCTCTGTCATTTCTAGAGTTTTGGAAGTTGCTTACAGTGCACTTCCTGTTGACTTAGGTAATATTATATCCTTCTGGAGTCTTTGATAAAGTTGAAGAATAGATAGTTATAGTTATAGTTTGCCTAAGTTATGATAAAAGATAAGGTAAATAAAAATATTGTAACTGTAATTCTTGCTTGATAACTGTTTTGTTATATGTAATTTTACTATGTGCCAATGTGTTCAAGTTTACTTCCCACTTTCTCTTTTATGAGGTTCAGTGTGGCTGTCTTTATGTTGAGATCTTTAATACATTTGGACTTAAGTTTTGTGCATGGTGATAGATAAGGGTTTATTATCATTATGTTGCTATCCAGTTATGCCAACACCATTTGTTAAATATGCTTTCTTTTTTCCATTTGATATTTTTTGCTTCTTTGTCAAAAATCAGGTGTTCAAAGGTGTGTGGATTAATATCTGGGTCTTCGATTTGTTTTCATGAGTTTGTAAGCTTCCTATGGTTTCTGTTTTTGTTGCTATCTAGCTTTAATCCATGGTAGAGGGGATTCAAGGAGTTATTTCAGATTTCTTCTATCTTTAGTGACTTGCTTTGTGACTGAGTATGTAGCCAATTTTGAAGAAAGTTCTATGAGGTACAGAGAAGAAGATATATTATTTTGTGCTTTGTTGAAATGTTCTGTAAATATCTGCTAGATACATTTGGTTTGCACATCAGTTAGCACCAGCACTACTCTGTTTAGTTTTTGTCTAGACGATTTGTCTATTGGTGAGAGTATGGTATTGAAGTCTCCAATTATAAGTGTGTGAGAGTCAATCTGTGATGTAGTAGTGTTTGTTTTATAAACTTGGGTACCCTTATGTTTGGGGCATAGATGTTAAAAACTGCAATGCCCTCTTGGTGGATTTTTTTTCTTTGATGAGTATGTACCGTTCTTCCCTAGCTCTTCTCATAAATTTTGGTTTGAAATCTATTTTGCTAGATATAAAAATAGCTATACCAACTTGATTCTTAGGTCTATTTGCTTAAAATATCTTTTTACAACCCTTTACTCTTGATATTAAGGTATATTTCTTGGATACAGTAAGTAGAAGGATGAATCCTGTTTTGCACTCATTCTGTTAGGTAGCAGTATTTTGTTATACCATATAAGCCTCGCAGGATACCATCCATAGTGGAAGCAAAAAGTTATTAAATCCTTGGGTGGCGATATTGTCTGCAATTATATAACTTTCAAATTTATTGAATTATTTATTAATCAAACAAACTTAACCTTCGTTGTAAGACTTCAGTAAATTGTGGTAGGTGTAATAACCTTTATTGGCCAGCAGGTGTCGCGGTTACAGGCACATGGTGGAGAGATATGACTGGTGATGGTGTGAACAATCCCACTCTGCTCCACATTGGTGCCTGATTAAATATTGACAAATTAAGAGCAATTAAATCAATTCCATACACAAAGAGAGGGTTTTTTGTTTTGGTTTTTTGTTTGTTTGGTGACTAGAATATCAAGGAACCCTGAGCTTGCAAACTGGGACGGCAAACCTGAAGCTGGGGCTGGGAGCGGGGAGTGGGGGGGTTTGGGCAAAACCGGGAAATTGCCAAGGAATATGCCTCCTCCTGCAAATGTTTTCATATCTATTTAAATAAATATTTGTTATCCTGAAGCAGAATTTTAAAGTAGTTCCAATTTTTTCATAAGCACTACCTTTGGAAAACATGGGAACCACACAATGCAGAATCAGAGACCTTGGTGCCTGTGCGTAAGCGCATCTGAAAGCTCAGTTGTGCTACCTCTAACATCCGTGCCAAGCCAGGGGTTCCAGTTTTTCCAAGGCTCCCTCCTTCCCACCAGGTTCCAGCAGTGGTCTGAGAGCTGAGCATGAGATTTGTCACAAGGCCTTGACTAGGGGAACCTGAATGTAGTAGTAAGAGCAGCAAGATGTTGCTGGGTGGTGGTGGCGCACACCTTTAATCCCAGCACTCGGAAGGCAGCTGCAGGCGGGTCTCTGTGAGTTAGAGGCCAGCCTGGTCTATAAGAACTAGTTCTAGGACAGGCCCCAAAAACCTGTCTCAAACAAACAAACAAACAAAAAGAGTAATACTATGTTAAGCTCTTTTGGGGAGCCACCAGCTCCCAAATGAATCACACATGGAGTCTTATTTTTAGTTATAAACATCTGACTTTAGCTTGGCCCATTTCCTTCCAGCTTGCTCTAACTTATCCCATCTACCTTTTGGCCTCTGTGGTTTTCTCATTCTCTTACTTCTGTAAATATTACTCTTAGTCTGTGGATTGATGTGTAGCTGGGTGGCTCGTCTCTGATGGCCTCCTCTGGGGCTACTTCTCTGACCCTCCCCCCCCCAGAGATTTCTCCTTCTGTTTATTGTCTCTGCCTGCCAGCCCCACCTATCCTTTCTCCTGCCTCGCTATTAGCCGTTCTGTTATTTATTAGACCATTGAGTGTTCTAAAGAGGTAAAGTATCACAGCTTCACACTGTGAAACAAATGCAACATAAACAAAAGAAACACACCTTAACATAATATTCCCAGCGTCTGAGTGCTCGGTTCTCTTTACACGATGGTCTCTGTTGAGCAGCAATTCAAGTATTAGTTGTGTCATTAGATACAGTAAAACCATCAAACTGACCTGGTGTCCTCAGCATGGTCTTCCGCAATAAGCAGACAGAAGTTGCCAGACTCACCTTTTAGTAACTCCTAGGATTTATTCTTTCTGTTCCCTCTTCTAAATCTCCTCACGGGCCTGGGGCTTAGAGGTCACTAAAGAATGCTGTCTTCCTCCCCACCACAGACCACCTTCTGCTTACCTCAATCAGCCTCCTCCACCTCTCCTTTTATGGTCCCATTCCAACCTCAGAACTCAGCAGACTGCTTCCTCCTATCAGGCTCTCTCAGCCTGTCTTCTGGAAGTAGTGTTCTTTTCTCCCCTGCCCCACCCCTAGTCTTCCTGGTGGGAAAGGAGGAGTGGGATTAAAAGGTATACGTTGGGAAAACACAAATGAGAAAAGAAATGTCTCTTTATGTCACCAATGAGCATGCTCCTCAGATGCCAAGGCAGGTATGCCTCTCCAGGAACCACATTGCTATCCATTCTGATAACGTGAAAATCTGAGGCATAGCCCACTTTAGATGGTCCAGGTCATAAGCACCAGATACAGAATTTCTGTTATTCAACACAAGCATAAAAATAT